GTTCGGACAGATGTCAGTGAGTTATTCCTAAAAATTACAGGCCTACAATAAAAAAAATACATATTTCCATGCAAAAAAATGTACCGCTTTGAGCACAGAAATATGGACATAATCAGACCGCTTGGGACGCTACAAAAAAAATTAAATAACTCTTAAAATTACATTAACATGTTAAAGCTTATATTAGGCTTTAGTGATTGAATTTTAAACTACTTTAAATATGCATACACCATGGCATAAATTAATTAAACGTGTGTGTTTGATGATCTAATGATTTTATAGATCAACACGACTGTAATAAACAGCACTTTGCATTAAATGGGATGAGTTATGTGCTGTGAACATCCTGATTACTGCTACTCAACATTCACAATATAACCAAGGAAACTCCCTTGTCATATGAGATTACATTAATCAGACAGAGGTGACATAGCTTCACTCTGATACTGTGAAAATTTGGGGGAGGGGTAACCTCTATTCATCTGTGCCTGCTATGTGTAAAGACATTTAGGAATAATAGAACCTTTCCTATTCACAAAATAGACAAAGGAACAAATGTAATTATACATGGTGACCCTAGTACAATGGCTCAGCAATGACAACCATAGCTGTCCCTCTTATCTTTCATCATTGCCATAAGACCATATGAGTTGGCGCTGACCATTATGTAAGTAATTATTGGATGTAATAGTCTGCATTGATCATTACTATATCATATTCCCCATAGGGCAGTGCACAAAGGGAATCTGTATTTTGCATTTTCAGACGAAAACTAGTTTGCTTTAAGTGACAAAAAATATATAAAGGAATGCGCTAAATACCAAGTCACATGAAAATGCAGATAAATACATAAATAAAAATAAAAAATATATTTATAAATGTCCGTAATTCATATATAAGTCCAAACACCAATATAAGTGATTAAAAAATCTCTTAAACAATAAAAAACACCGTGTAGCAAAATCCACCCTCCGAATGAAATGGATAAACTCACCAGAGAGCTATTTGCTGATCAAATTATAAATCAGCAAAAACAGCAATTGCTCTGGGAGCGATGATCTGTTGGAGTATCCAGGAGCAATAGACTGCAATCAGCCAAATCAGCACACATGGAACAGCCTTAACTACAAGTGGTCATCATGCCTTCATAACTTTGGAAATGCTCGGGGAATCAAAGAAGAGTATCATGGTGCAGTATATAAAAACAAAGATAATTTTTATTGTAGCCTAAAATATGCACTCACAAGAAAGGTGTCCAACCGATACCAGCAATATCAGTATCAGTCTCAAAAAGCTAAAGCAGAGACGAGCCTCGATCACCGCCATCACAGTCGACAGTCTCGAGGAGCGTCCTGACGTCCCATCCACTAAGCCCCTAGTTTGCTTTAAGGCCTGTTCACTGATATGAGTTCCTTTAGAATCAATGGAAACGTATCACTACGTGCATCAACGCTCATTCTCGTGCATTGATGTGCGTTATGAGGCATATTGACATTCAATACAAAGTGCATTGCAATGTGCATTAAAAATGCATAACAACGCACATTATCGGGCATCGAACCATGTTGACATGTTTTGATATGTTTCCATTGATTTTAATGGGAAACCCGCATAGCCATTAATAGGGATATCATCTTAGCAAGAAAAAAAAAGTGTAAAAAAGAGGATGATTCAACTGCATAACATGAGAGATTTATTTCTAATACAATGTGGAATACAATAACAGTTCACAATAACAAATCAAACTACCAGGTAAAATGAGGAAGACTACATTTTACATGCTAAAAAATCATAAAACTACTGTGAAAGATGTATAAATGTAAACATAAAGCTAAAACTATGCATCTTAATAGAAAAAAAACACCCCACCACTGAATAGTGACACACAGTATATTCACCAAAATCTCATTTAACATTTCAACTGTAACCTCAGTAATGTATGTTACATAATTAAATCAACCAAAAGGTCCTTCTGTGTCCCAAATCAAAGTCTTAATTGTACCTAGTGCCAATTTAGGAACAATTGTTGCAAAATAAATAAATGAATCTATGTGACAGATCAAAGTTTTTCTTTGCATCTAGTACATTTTCAATTCCAATATCTTTATATTGCCCTCCAAGAAAGAAACAGAGGCTGCAAATAGTGTAAAATCAATATTAGAAGCATAAAAGAAGCAAAAAATATATTTTGAAATGTATTTGCTTAAAATTGATTGGAGACATGTTAGGAAAATGAGAATATGATATGAGTTTTTTAAATGCCATTTCTATGGTGTTTTTTAGGGATATTGAATAACAATTAGGTTAGGGTTTAGCTGAACAGGAATATGGCTCATCATGCATACATACAAATACAGTATATGCTGGTGTTATATAAGGGCAGGAAGTGGGGGGGAATCTCTCTGATGAGATTGGTGGAATATACATAAATCAGAGAGGGTGGGCAAAAAAGGTGAATAATAAACTTCCATTAAAAGGTTTTAAGCATATCTCCAGCCAAAACCTTTATTTTTTGATTTGGGAAATAGTGAGAACCACTTTTTTACTGCTATTTTGGGTTTCATAGAGAGATTTTCTGCCACTTTCTGCCCTGATGACGAGGGTTTCACCAAATAGGAAGTGAGGGTAAATCTCCAAAAAAAACTCCAACAATACCAGTGTATACAATTCTTTTGAAAGCATTTTTCTGATGAAACCGGTATAGAAGGTAAGGCAATATCTCTCATATAGAACCCTGGATAGCAGTAAAAAAGCAACTGAGGTTCCAATTCTTTCCCCATGCTATCCAAAACAGGAACAAAAATGTGGCTGGACATACAGCTTACTGTTCAGCATATAGATATATGCATTGATAACCTGGTTTAGCACTCTTTTATAATGTGGAGGGTCCTAATAGTGGAATTTTTGTATATTATATACAATGATACACAACAATGAAGACAGTTGGATCGAGTGTTGTGGGAGATTAGCCCTTCTTTTGGCACAAATTCAGTAGTTTAGTGGTTTGAAATGCTTTATGTGGCCTGCTAACTTAGTGCACAGTATTATATTGGTCCCAATTAGAGTTCTGCCTGTGGCAGATAATACAATAACACTGATCAGAAGCAATCCTTACCTAAATAGGAGGATTTCAATGTAAATATACTGTACATATGTATGTGAGAATGTGGTTTACAAAGCATAGAGTATTGGAACAATGCGCAGTGACAATCACATACAGTTTGTTGAACTGCACAAACAAATATCGATAGATACTGCTGAATTCACACTTGAATGAATTTTGTGTGTATTTTCTGGTGTTTTCAGGCTTTAGCGTTTTTGTTATAGCCAATGGAAAGCTAGTTACTAGAGGGGAGGAGATTGTTATTAGGTAAAATTAGGCAAAATTCATTGAAAAATACACATTTTTAGGTGCTCCTACTGAAGTCTTTTGGGGCAAAAAATGCACAATCATGTGTCTTGTACTTTTCCTGACAGGAACAATAAGATAACAGAAATTTGGTCTTGAGTATTGCAGTGCTTCTGGAAACGTACTTCAAATTGCTCAGGTGTGAATGGGCGTGTATCCATGCTAAAAGCCTAAAGAAGTTATTAAAGTATTAACATTTGTGTTTTTCTTCCAGAATGATTAAAAAAAATCTTTTTCTATAGATATGTGCTTTTTGTGAATATACCCCTTAAGAGAATATCTTCATAGCTTGTTCACCGCTTGTCCATTGAGCTGTGTTTCTCTGTACACCGCCACACGTGTATAATGTGACCAGAGCACACAGAAAACAATTGTGCCTTGTTTACATCATACATGTGTGAACAAGCCAGACATGCAGTATTTAACTTTAATATATATATATATATATATATATATATATATATATATATATATGCACACACATACAGTGTATATAGAGCAGGGCCCTCCTTTCCCTCTTGTATTGAACTGTATTGTTGCTGTATTGTCTCTCGTTATATTGTAAAGCGCTGAGCAAACTGTTGGTGCTATTTAAATCCTGTATAATAATAATAATAATATATATATATATATATATATATATATATATATATATACCGCCACACACGTATAATGTGACCAGGGCATTTAGAAAACGGTTGTGCCTTGTTCACATGTATGAACAAGTCAGACATGCAATATTTGAGTTTAATATATACATATAAAGAGATATATATATATATATATATATATACATATATAATATATATTTGTTTTGTTTTTTTAATATATATATATATATATATATATATATATATACTTTTTAAGTACTTTTTTCCTCCATGCCTATATTGGAATGTATTCCCACACAATGAACTCCCTATCTAAAAGACAGGTGGAGGAGTGAAGTGATATAACCCAGGTACAATTGACTGTGCTAATAACCTATGTTTAAAAAGTAAAGGGAAAGGCAGTAGCAAAGATTTCCTAATGGCTTTTAGTTTACAAAGGCTTATGCTGGTGCTGGAATAGCCAGGTACTGTTCTCCAAACACAGCCCTATGTGATTTTTGCTAATCCTTTCGGAAGTATAGGTGCGAGCTGAGTTTAGTAGGATTCCTAATGTACAGCAGGCGAGACTCTAGACAGGGGAGGGCGGCGGAGGGGAGGGGTTGTGTGCCCAGGGACAGTGCTGGACTCAAAAGGAGCCAGGCATTAGCTGCAATCGCATTTATTTCAAACTTCTGCTCCAGGAGAGGAGAACAACAGACACTTTCACTGCAGCTCTGCCTGCCTGGCCAAATGGATCTATTGTAAATTTTCCTTTAAATTCATTCTAGTGTTTGACCCTTGAGCTTTGTAATTTTTTTTTTTTTTTTTTTTTACTGCTTTGCTGCTTTTATTGATATTCTGCTACTTTATCCAACTTGGATGTGAGTAGACAAAAGTCACGGTTTTCTGCTTCAAGATACAACTTGTTTGTAAGGTTTTTAAAGAAGTTGTGGGATCAAGTGAAGCCGTAAGTGACTGTTTCTTTAATATATATTTTGAAGATGTCCCCTTTAGGGAGTTTCGGTGTTTCCTTGGTTATGCTGGGGGTATTAGCTGTTTTGCCCAGAGCGCAAAGTGCGTCTTGTGAGCCAGTCAAGATTCCCATGTGCAAGACCATGCCCTGGAACATGACCAAGATGCCCAACCATCTGCATCACAGCACCCAGGCTAATGCTATTTTGGCAATTGAACAGTTTGAGGGCTTGCTGGAGACAAAATGCAGCCAGGACCTGCTTTTTTTTCTATGCGCCATGTATGCACCCATCTGCACCATTGATTTCCAGCATGAACCAATCAAGCCGTGTAAGTCAGTGTGTGAGAGAGCCAGGACCGGCTGTGAACCAATACTGATCAAGTATCGCCATAATTGGCCAGAAAGCCTGCTCTGTGAGGAACTACCAGTCTATGATAGAGGAGTCTGCATCTCTCCAGAGGCCATCATTACAGTGGAGCAAGGAACAGGTAGGTGCTGCATTGTATATCCCTACTGATTCTGAATGTCACACAAGTTTAATAATCAGGCCATATGTAAACATATTGTGCTGGCAACTATTAGATCTTATGGTCTCCAAATCAAATCAGTGATTTTGAAGAGTCTATGGTCATACTGAATTACCTGTGCCGTTAAAGAATTGTTCTGGGCAGCATAGTGGCTTAGTGGTTAGCACGTCTGCTTTGCAGTAAATGGGTCATGGGTTCAATTCCCAACGATGGCACCTCCTGCATGCAGTTTGCATGTTCTCCCTGTGCTTGTGTGGGTTTCCTCTGGGTGCTCTGATTTCCTCCCACACTCCAAAGACATGCTGGTAGGTTAATTGGATCCTGTCTAAATTGGCCCTAGTATGTGTATGTATGAATGTGAGTTAGGGACCTTAGATTGTACACCCCTTGAGGGTTAGGGACTGATGTGAATGTTCAATATATATATGTGTAAAGTGCTGTGTAAATTGACAGTGCTATATATGTACCTGAAATAAAAATAATAATATTAATAAAGGAATGAATTAAGATCAATGACAGATGTTCCAGCATGATGTAAAGTATTTTCAACCAAAGCCATGCTTACTACATTCCATCCACAAGATTGTCACAGGGTATGCTCCTAATGGATGCATTGCTTGTTGATGTTGCTTAGGGTATGGTCAAAACTATTTTTTAAATGATCTCTATGTAGTCAGTGCTAAGTATTAAAACAATCCTGAAATGTTTTCTTTCATAAGGAATAATTTAACTGATCCATCAGGTTGGATAAATCAGGATGATTTATGAAAAGAGGAATGAAGTGGTGGAGTTGCCCACACAAATGAAATTATGTAATCTGGTTTTTAGATAAAATTAAATTGTTAGCTATAATAATAACCAATCAGGGTTCATCAACATCCTAAAGAAAGAAATATAGAATCTGGTTGTTATGGACAATATCATCATTTTAGTTTGCTCTAGTTTTTATATATCAATCTGTGTGAGTCTAATGAAAAGTTACACAATATTACAACTTTCCAAATTGAATTGGTGTGACATTATATATGACAACTCATTAAGACATATTCACGAACAGTGCAGCAAAGGTATTTTGACTATAGCGACCAATCAGATAGTCTCTGTCATTTTGATTGGTAGCTGTGAGCCCTATTTCCACTTTTCCTCTGTACTAGTATTCATCAGTAAGTAGATTTGTGAAACAGGTGTCATATTCTGAAAGTTGATTGAAGTGCAACCCATACCTCCAGTATCCACATATACAGTCATATGAATACCTGCAAGCAGCCAATGGTTACAATGGGGAACAATATAGAGATGTCAAAAATAATTTGGATGCTCTGTATACAAACCTACGGGCTTTTTGGAAACCGTAAAATGCATCTGTCAGTTCCCTATAAAAAGACTAGTAAATGAAAAAAAAATTGAATACATTGTAAGGGTAAATATGTATTTAACTTTCACAACCTTCTCAGATCTGAAGACTTCTGAGATAAAGGTAGTAGTATGGGGGTGAGCATTGTAGTAGAGAACAATATTGGCATCTGGCACTCGTGGGCCTATTTTTTTTTTTTTTTCACTATAATGACTAAGTGACAATGTTGCTCATACTTTTTTCTGGATACATTTGCAAACATACCTTTTTCTGGGTGCATTTGAAAACATACATTTTTCTGGATGCATTTGCAAATATATCTGAGGATATTGGTTGTAGATTTTGAATGAATTGTCTTGTATGGTTTTGGATGGATGGAATGGGGAGGGACTAGAACCCCTGTCATGTCTTTATTGCTGTGTGTGTCCACTGGGGGATTCACTATTTCTATTTGTCTTGGTAATCATGTCACTAGGACCAGAAGTGAGGAAAACCCCTAAATTTGGAATTACTGGAAAAAGAACAATAGAGAAATCTTCCAATTAGAACAGTTGTTGCAGTAACTGTCTAAGCCTGATTCACACTTGATCTTGAGTATGTTTATGTGATTTTGGAAAGTTGTCGTTTTTGCATGTTTTCTGCACTTTTTTCAGGGTTGAGCATTTCTGTTTTAGCCAATTGAAAGCTATTTACTAAAAAGAAATGACAATTTCTGGGCACAAAATCATGCAAAAATGTACATTTTAGGGAGCTCCTAACGAGTCTATTGGGGCCAAAAACAAGTGATCTCACTTTTTCAGACCATTGATTGATAGCACAATGCTCAGATGTGCAAGGGCACAATAAAATAACATGGAAATCTGCTGTTGAGCATTGAAGCATTACTGAAAACGCATTTCAAATTGCTCAGGTGATTGGAGAGCTTTTCCCTGTTGTGAATACTTTGCCTGCTATGTTTACATAGCAAACAAATAAGGGAAATTTCCCCAGTGGTAATCAGATAGTAAAAACAAAATGTGACAGTTTTTTTTTTCATTCTCTATCCAAACATAAAAAAACAGGTTTCGGCTTTGGATAGACTTTAGGTGGCCATAGATGGTCATAAATGGCCATGGATGTTAGATGGTCTCCTGATCTGTCCATTTCTGGACAGATCGAGTAATGACCTTGTCACTATGGTCAGAGAAATACACACTTGAAGACCATTCTCTGTGAACAAAAGATGATTAGTAGGGTTAGAAAAGCTGGCCCAATTACTATTTTTTTTTACCCCATGCATGAAACATCTGGGTCCACTTTTTTTCCTCCACTGCCCTAAACTTTAATCAAAGTGCCCCTGTATAGTGGAGGAACTGGCCCAGGAAAGACTGTGGAATGAATGCAGAGTGTGTGCATGTCCAACTGTATTTTAATGTCTATGGCCTACTTTACCACTCCTTTCATTATGCTGACTCATGTATAAACCAAGCTACATCTGTGTCTTAGAGCCTTTATAATCTCTATCATCTGTGTTCAATATATCTGTCATAACTTTCCAGGTTATGGAGGTCTTTGACATTAAAGTTTGCAAAGTTGTTTCCCTTTTGCCTGACATCGGTTTATATACCGGGCAAGTACATTTTCAATGAAGACAAAATGCAGATGGGAATATTTTCCCCACATAGGTCACCTTGTCATTCACCAAGCTTATGTTAAGTCATTGGTTATGTACAGTGTTTATTTAAGGATATACTTATTCAATGTTCATTTTTAGCTTCAGAATAGCTCTGCACGGGTGACCTTGGTACAGATCAGCATAGCACTCATATGAAATGTGACAGGTGATGTTTTTGTATTTGACTCCGGTGATTGATTGACCATGATAATATCACATCTAGCTAATGTGTCAGTCCTTAAAATGAATCCAAAATGATCTGCAGTTGATGATATAAATGCAGATGAGGACATTTGATCCACATAGTCAGTGGCTAGAACTTTGAGTACTGTACATGCTTATTAGAAGAACTTCTCAATTATGTGACAGCCTACAGTTGCAAGAAAAAGTATGTGAACCACTTGGGATTATGTGGAGTTTTGCATGAATTGGGCATAAAATGTGCTCTGAACGTCATCTAAGTCACAACAATAGAAGAACACAGTCTGCTGAACATAATACTACACAAACATTAGACGTTGCCATGGTTTAATTGCACATAACATGTAAACGTTCACAGTGCAGGGAGGAAAAAGTATGTGAGGCCCTAGCTTAATGACTTCTCCCAGAGCTAATTGGAGCCAGGAGTGAGCCAACCTTGACTCCAAACAGTGTGATGATATTGGATGTGTTGCTGACAGCTGTCCTGCCCTTAAAAAACACATACCTGTTTTGGGTTTACTGGTTTCAAGAAGCACTGTCTGATGTAAACCATGCCTCGCAGAAAAGAGCTCTCAGAAGACCTACGATCAAGAATTGTTGACTTGCATGAAGCTGGAAAGGGTTACAAAAGTATCTCCAAAAGCCTTGATGTTCATGTGTCCACGGTAAGACAGACTGTCTACAAATGGAGAAAGTTTAGCACTGTTGCTACTCTCCCTAGGCGTGGTCGTCCTGTAAAAATGACCGCAAGAGCACAGCGCAAAATGCTGCATGAGGTAAAGAAGAATCCCAGAGTGTCAGCTAAAGACCTACAGAAATCTCTGGCACATGCTAACATTTTTGTTGACACATCTACAATAAGGAAAACATTAAACAAGAATGGAGTACATGGGAGGACACCACGGAGGAAGCCATTGCTGTCCAAAAAGAATATTGCAGCACGTTTGAAGTTTGCAAAAGAGCCCCTGGATGTTCCACAGCACTACTGGCAAAATATACCAAGATTGAGTTGTTTGGGAAGAACACACAACACTATGTGTGGAGAAAAAAAGGCACAGCACACACAACATCAAAACCTCATCCCCACTGTAAAACATGGCGGAGGGAGCATCATGGTTTGGGACTGCTTTGCTGCCTCAGGGCCTGGATGGATTGTTGTCATTGATGGGAAAATGAATTCCAGAGTTTATCAAGACATTTTGCAGGAAAACGTACGACCATCTGCCCGCCAACTGAAGCTCCGCAGAGGATGGGTGATGCAACAGGACAATGACCCAAAGCATACAAGTAATTCAACAAAACAATGGCTGCAACAGCACAGAATACGCCTTCTAGAGTGGCCCAGTCAGAGTCCTGACCTCAACCCGATTGAAATGCTGTGGCATGACCTTAAGAGAGTGATTCACACCAGACATCCCAAGAATATTGCTACACTGAAACAGTTTTGTGAAGAGGAGTGGTCCAAAATGACTCCAGATCGTTGTGCAGGTCTGATCTGCAACTACAGGAAACGTTTGGTTGAGGTTATTGCTGCCAAAGGAGGGTCAACCAGTTATTAAGTCCAAAGGTTCACATACTTTTTCCTCCCTGCACTGTGAATGTTTACATGTTATGTGCAATTAAACCATGGCAACATCTAATGTTTGTGTAGTATTATGTTCAGCAGACTGTGTTCTTCTATTGTTGTGACTTAGATGACGTTCAGAGCACATTTTATGTCCAATTCATGCAAAACTCCACGTAATCCCAAGG